ATTTACAATAGTCAGGATATGGAAGAACCTAAGTATCCATTGATGGATGAATGGATAAAGAAAATGTGGTGTATAGATACATAATAGTGTATTGGTCAGCTTGAGGAAGAAGGAAACTGTATCATTGATAACAACTTAGATGAACCCAGAGGATATTATCCTATGTGAAATACTGACATAGGCCAAGCACAGGAAGACAATATTGCATGATTTCACTTAGACGCAGAATCTGAAAACATCAAACTCATAGATGCAGAGAGTAGCATAATGGTCTCCTGCAGCTGGGGTAGGAAGTGGAAATGTAGGATGTTGGTCAAAGGTTACAAAGTTTCAGTTAGACTAAGTGAGATCTGGAGATCTATTGTACATTGCACTGACTATAGTTAATAACAAGGTATACTTGAAACTGGAGAGTTGGCTGGCACCTATGGCTCAAGGAGTAGGGTGCCAGCCCCATATACCAGAGGTGGTGGGTTCAAACCCAGCCCTGGCCAAAAAACAAAAAAAAAAGAAACTGGAGAGTAGACCTTAAATGTTTTCAGCACACACACACACACACACACACATACACAATGTGAAGTAATGGATATCTGAATTAGCTTGATTGTGGTAACCATTTCCTTGTGTGCATGTGTGTATGTCTCAAAGCATCACTATATACAATTTTTATTTATCAATCTTCCCTCAATAATACTGGGGAGGGGGAAGAGTCCAGCTGAGATGGTCTTATCTGGAGGCTCTGGTGGAAAATTTACTTCTAAGCTCATCTAGATGGGCGCCAGAATTCAGCTTCACATAGTTTAGTTTTTCTCATTTGCTTTGTTTTCTCTCATTGTTGTTGGTTTTGGGCGAAGGTGGATATTTCTGAGATTTGAGAGGCATACTGGTTAACATCCTCCATCTGGATGACTACTGAAGAATGATTGCCATCTCAGTTGTCCTACGTAAAACTTAATTTTTTAGGGTACGTGGCATATCTTGAGGACAGGACACAGTTATAAGAGGGACTTTACCTAACAAATGCAAACATTGTAATCTAATTCATTATACCCTCAACCTGAAACAATATAAAAATAAAATAAAAATTTTTAAAAAAATAAATAAATAGGGTGGTACCTGTGGCTCAGTGAGTAGGGTGCCAGCCCCATATACTGTGGGTGGTGGTTTCAAACCCCACCCTGGCCAAACTGTAACAAAAAAACCCCGGGTGTTGTGGCAGGTGCCTGTAGTCCCAGCTACTCAGGAGGCTGGGGCAAGAAAATCACCTAAGCCCAGGAGCTGGATGTTGCTGTGAGCTGTGTGATGCCACAACACTCTACTGAGGGTGATAAAGTGAGACTCTGTGTCTAAAAATAAATAAATAAATAAAAATAAAAAAATAAATTAAAAACCTTTATTTTTTATACATTTTAAAATTATCCAACCTTTTCTAGCTTTATACCATTCAGAGCCAATTACACTGGTAAGTAATGATGCTGAACGGTACTTGTACATTTCTATCACTGCTACGTTCACATTGCACATAGAGTAATGCAAACACCTATGTTAGCAACAGCTGTGCATTTATCAAGTTGCAATGAAAAATAGTTTACTAGATTTATTGGTTCTGAGTTTGTCTCCATGTTGTTAACCAGGGCTGAATACGTTGAACTATGGTGTCATTGGAAAGGGGTGTGTGAGCTAATAATATCTTTGTTGCATGAGTCGACCAACATTTCCAAGAAAACATCTTATACAGTCTTCGACTATTGTCTTAACAATGGAATTTTTCTTTAGCCTTAGAAAAACAAAGTGCTAGGTTATAAGAACCTGTAAAGGATTGATATTTCTTCTGTTGGTTTTTAATTCAATACTTTTCAGTTTTTGTTAGTTTTGAACTTACTTCTTTATGTTTTGTACGAACAGCGTTTAAAGGGTGATGTTTATTGCTTCACTAGACAGTACACATTTAGAAATAATGTCTGTTAGTGATGAGCCCTTCACAAAGTCAAAGTCAGTATGATACTCATATAAAAAACTAGAGGACATTTCTTAGATTTCCTGTTCCTTTAGAATAATGCTGTCACTATTTGGTTCATTACTGCTGCCACATTGACAACAACTTTGGACAGCTTGCTTTGTTATCAATCATCTGTAAAAAAATTATAAAAATTTTACTTTTCTAATTTTGTTGAAAGCAAATTAAAAACCAGATTTGATGTCAATTATAATAATTGTAAAATAAGATATTGGAGTAATTAAATGTTTATGTTTTCTGAGATTTTTATATATTTTGTGTTGGAGTTGGAAAACTAATCTTAAAACACAATATAGTGTGGCCCCATTATACATGCAATACTAATAATCATTAGTGCAATACTAATAATCATTTGTTTGTGGATAGCTTCAAGTTTGGGACTTTACTGAGAATTCAATTCAGAATACTTTTAGGAAAGGAATTTTTTCTGAAAGCGAATGATGTATTCAGATTTTGCATTTCAATTATTTGGGGGTTGGTGGTGATTTTAAACCTCATTTTCTTTACTTACCCCATTGAGGATTGAATTCCAATATCTCTATTGTAAACATTTCTGAAAGCACTTATATTTTCTTCTTAGAAATTTGAGATTATTTTGTTATTTTTCCTACTAATCTTAGTCAAAAGCAGCACTAAGTAATGAAATATTAATATATTAGAGGGCACAAATTATCTCTCTTGTATCTCTCTCTTCCAACACTACTCAAATACTGCTTTATAACCTCGCGGTGGTTCAACTCTGTTACCAGTACTACCAAGATAAGCCAGAAATTGAGAGCAGCAGTTCCACAGCAATACGATGTTTTTCATCCCAGCCGGTCTAGGTCATTTTCTTCAACAAGGCATTGTGGAACTCTCCTGATGAGCAGAAGGTGTACAATATATCTTACATCTACCTCAGCAGGTGTAAAGAGTCTTTGGACAATAGGTTAAGTGATCAAGAGATAATTTCTAAAATAATTAATCTCTAACTTGTTGAAAGCTCAGAAACACGTAGCCAGCCCTGTGAAGTACCTGTTAAAGCTCCAGGTCAAATTACCCAACATAACATACACAAAGACCTGTTTGCCTTAAATTCAATTTCTCTTAAACTGTTTTTTTTTTTTTTTTGTCTCCGTAGATGTCTATACTTTTCCCTTTCCATTCATTTCCAATTAAATGTTTTAAACTAATGTACCTAAGAGCATGTCTGACCCAAGTTTGTATTTCTGGGCTATATTTTTGAAAAATGCAATGTTTTATGATTGGTGGAATTATTCTTTCCTCCCCATGGCTTTCTTTTTGTTTTCTTTTGAAGACATTGTCTTTACCCTAGTTTACATAACTTTAATAATTTTATATCATCCACAATAAATACTTGTCAACATTTATTAGCACATTTATCAGATTAACACCTCTGCACATTCCTACTTCTCTATTATTGTTCTTTAGGCTGCCTGTGTTATGGGGACCTTATTATGCATTTATGGATATATGAATTTGTAGTTACCTTCCTGAGTGCCTTTCTGGTGAAAATGCCCAATGTGATGTTGTTAGCAGTTAAAGAAAATTAATGTCTGAAAATATGAATCCTGCACTGGAATAACTTTTGTTTTACATGAAAGTTAGTTAGGCCCGTCTAGATAACATTGCTGTCTACAGCTCAGCACAGCTGCCACCCTGGAAAACCTGCCTGCTTTCCACTCTAATGGATGTGCGTTATTTGAAGCAGATCTTGTCATTCATACATCAGTAGTGACAGTGCTGTTTTGTGTCTGGGATCCATTTTGTGCTGATAATTTCCATTGCCCCCAGACCTGCTTCGCATCCTTCTCCACTTTGCCCTGTCCTCCTGGCTTCGAGTTTGGTTTAGCAAATGGGGAGCACAGATGGGTGATTGGAGTGGAGCTGGAGGACAGTGGGACTGGTGTTCTGACGCTCTAGGATCTAGGGTAGGACTTTTCTTAGAGGCAGCCTCAGATTGTGCATCTCTCAACTAAAGGCAAACACTTTTAACTAAGCACCACTCTCCTGCTCTCATTCCTTCTTGGTCTAGCTTCCTCTTCGGTCCTAGGAGTGGCAACTAGCTTGTCCCCTTCTTGCTAGCCCCTGAGAACTACACCATGTCATTTTACAACCCTACGCCTGTCTCTCAAAAGAATCCCTGCAGTTAGTCCCTTAGAGTGTGCCCTATGCTTCCTTGACTAGTACAGTGATCAGTTTTGAAATTTAACTGTCTTAAAAATAAAATGCAAAATAAACCAGCAACTACCCATTTCATTGCTTCATTTTGCTGATGAAATACTCCACTAAATACAAATAGTATGTCCTAGTATTGGTTACACACTCATACAATATGCTCAGATATACTTCAAAAAGAAAAAAAGATAATATTTGGGTGTGAGGGCAAGCGGAGAAAGCATAATCAAAATGGCAAAAGATAGGACATATAAAAAATATATACAAGTGGCTTTGAAGAACAGACAATGGCAATTTAGTACTGATCACAGTGCTTAGATGAAGCTCCTACGTGCCAGGCTTTGTCCTAAACAGTGTACATATGTTGAACTGTTTGTTTCTCACAGGAGCTCTGGGGGAGATAATATTCCCATTCTCCAGGTGAGGAAATGGGGCCACGGAGCAGTGAAGTCGGTCTGCTTGGACAGCCGGTCCTCATAGCTGCCACGTCACACTGTTCTTTCACTGGTTTTGCTAATAGAAATGCTAAAGCATATTCAAGTCTAGATGTTATGTGAATCGACTAGTTTGTAATAGTAACAAAATGGAAAGGTGGGGCAAAGTCTAGAGGCAAAATTAGTTTGGAATCCAATGTCTGAGAGTTTAAATTATTTTTCAGTATGCTATTATTCTTAACCCTAATTTTCCTTCTTGCTACCCTTTTCGACAACTCATGAATCTGATGACATACAGTATTTTGTGCCGTGAGTGCATTCGTATGCTAACACACACTTAATATTTCTCTTTAGGTTCATGATCTGTGAATATGCCTGTTAACAAAGCACCCGTGAGCAACACATTACAAATAACATCTCCATCTTATCTTGAACGAGCCTTAAAATTAAAATTACAAAATTTAAATAGAAAAAAGACTCCAAAGCCAAGGTAAGTTAGAAAAATATTTCATATTAACATAGAGAACCCATATGAACTGTACAGATAATTTAAACAGTAGAGAAAATTGTGAAAAATAACGTAACCCATATATCTCTCAGCAAGTACGAAAATGTTAAAAGCTTTACTAATTTTATTACATAGTCTTATTTATTGGAACAACTATATACGTTCAAAAGTTTTGCATTCTATACTTTTTGTTTGAGATAATCATTTTTCTATAGTCACATATTAAAAAAAATTACCATAATAACTCATAAACCATGTAAAAGAAAATGTTTCATAACTACTATACGTCTAAGCATTTTAGTTATTGCTAAGTTTTTTCATTATTTTAAATTTAGTCACAGTAGAATTTCAAATTATTTCTTTGAGATAAAGTTATAAAACAAGTGTAATAGCAACTTAAATTTTTGCCATGACTTTATAGTCAGAGAGTGCTGTCTCTGGTGGTTTTCTGTTGTGTCTGTGTCCTCACACCATAATGATCCATATTTTCTATAAGAAAAAAGGTGGAAAAGTTGTTATCCATTCAGAACCCCACAGAAAGGAAAATGAAACTGAGAATAAATCACCCCAAAAGTGAACAGTTTAAATGTAAATTCACATAGACATGTTATACTAAAGAAACAAGCAAAAATGGGCGGTAGATATAAATCACTTGGGGCGGTAGAGATAACCAAGCAATAGGACTTAAATGTAACCTAACTGCGTAATTCTTTTACTAATAGGATGTAGGTCAAAAGAGGGAAATAATTTGTATAAAAATGTCCAGAGCTGTATTAATTGCATTTAAAAATTTCAAATTGAGAGGCGGTGCCTGTGGCTCAAAGGAGTAGGGCTCTGGCCCCATATGCTGCAGGTGGTGGGTTCAAACCCAGCCCCGGCCAAAAAAAGAAAAGAAAAACATTGAAATTGCCTCAATGCTTCATACTAAAATGGCCAAGTGAATTAAGTATATCAAAACAGCAGAATACTATAGAAATGTTTAGAAAAAGAAAATGGAAACATTGAAAGATAAGTTATATGGTGATAAACGTCTGTCAGATGAATATTATGGATGCGGCATTCACTAGTATCAAAAGGTTTGGTGGATGGCCAACCTCTATGGCGTTAATCACAAACTTGATACTATTGGTAATAGGTGCGTGCTGAAAGGAGGAGGGTAGGTCTTTTCTTTAAACAAACATGAACAGACCTGGGCTCAATAGAGTGAAATAGTTTACTTTTCTCCAGGAGTTCTCAGTTTTTAAATATGCTAATGTGTAGTGTAAATCTCTATCGGGAGCAGAGCTGGCTGTGCTACCACTACTTGTATAGATGGACCCTTCCACAAAACTCACCCAAGGACCACATAGTAAGGAATATTAATTTACATTGAATATTCTTTTTATTAGAAAAAAACCTTTATATTGTTAAAGATAAAAATATGTATTAAAAATGATTTTGATCTTTAAAAATATAAGTTGGGAATACCTCTTAAATATCCTTAACATGTATGAATATCTAAATTGATAGGAACTTTTTAATCACTTAGTATAAATACTTGGAATACTCAGTGTTGCTGTATTTTGCATGTGTTAAATTATCATAGCTAATATTAAGTTAAAACCACATGTACATGTAATTTTTTAAATCTAAATTTCTAAAATTACCACATCAAAGTTTGCTGATAATTTTAAATTTATGTGTGATTTTTAAATTTTAAGAAATGGTTTCAAATTTTTGAAAATGAAATCAATGCCATAAGGGAAATCAATATATATTTCTCCTTGTATACCTGTGCAAGTGTTAGTTCTGAGTGTAATTTTTGATTCATTTGTACAACTATATATGTATCCATAAAAATTAAAATTTAGAAAGGCAAATCTAAACATTTTTCTTTAAAAAAAGTATGATTTTTTTTCTTTAAACTTTATCTGATATTCTAATTTCATCTTGTATATTTTTAACCCTCACTAGATTTTATTAGTAATTTAAGCAGTCAATGTTCCTTATCTTATTTCTATTTCATCACTTTTTTTCTTCACTTTTTCATCTTTCTTCTTAAATACTGTATCTGGACTAGTTTTTCATTTACCTGATAGAAGACTTTGAATTTCCCTGAGTTTGATTGTCTGAATATATCTTTATTTTATTCTTACTCTTGAAGAATGCTTAAAACTGAACATGGAATCTCTTTGGACCATTACCGCTTGTATTCTCTTTATTATTATTGATATCATTCCACTGTCTCATCATCTCCAGCATTACTGTTGAGAAGGTCGATGAAACTGTAACGTCAGTCTTTAAAATCAGTCAGTTTTACTATGTGTCAGAATTTAAATTCTTGCTTGGATTTGTCAGAGCTGTTCGAATCTGAAGATAACGTCTTTCTTTCGTTATTCTTAAAATATTACCTGGTATTATTTCTTCAGTATTGCCTTGACAATTCCATTTTCTCTTTTCATGGGACTCTTGATTAATTGTATATGAGTTCACTTTATTAAATCTTCTATAAACTTTACTCTTTCCTCTCCAGAATCAAAACTTTTGTCTTTTTCTAGTGTATTTTACACAATTTATCCTTAACTATGGTCTGTCTCTCTATGTGGCTAATTCTCATTAATTTTACTGAATTAAAAAATTATATCTTACATTCTAGTAATTAATTTGGTTTTCTTTAAGTTTTTTTTTTAATGTAGACTTGAGACGCCTGATTCTCTGCAGATATTTTTAAGCTTGTGGTGCCGTGATTGCTTTATAACTTGTGTCTGATTATTTTGGTGACTGGAGTCTCTGAGTTTGTTGCTTCTGCTTGTTCTCATTTACGTCATCTTGTTCACGGTACCTTGTCATTCCTCACTTCCCCTTGTGGGGAAATGTTTCTGCATGCTGTTTTTTGAGCACTAGGAGGAATATGTCATCCTCTGGAGAGTCTTCACATTTGCTTCTCTGCCAGACACCTGCAAACGCTACGAGTCTGGGACTAAACTAAACTCATTGCCTGAGTTTTCTTGTCCAACAATCTATGTTTCTCTAGGGTATAAATCTGTGTTAGGACTAACCTTCTCACTAACAGTTTTCTTTATTCTTTTGTTTTCTTTCTTTCTCTGTTGAATTGCCAAGACTGCCGTCCATGTAGCTTCCTGGGGTTGAGAAAAGGGGAGTGCTTTAGTTCTGATCGTCCTTAACTTGGATATTTACTCAATGTGTGTACATTCTCTTGTAAGTTTCCTGTACTTTGAAAATCCTGGCTTTTTTCTACTGTTTAGTCATTTAAAAAACATACTTGATCTTGTCTTTGTGGCCCCTACATTAAGGGAAACCAGAGGTTTGACTTGTAGCAAGGAATGTCAGCTTTGTTTCTCTTCTTATCTTTTCCATAAATATTTTCATACACCTCGTATTCTATGTCCTTATTATTCCTTCAGGGAAAAATGAGTCTTTGCAGCCTCAGTGAGGGTTCCATTAGAGACACACATAGAATTCCATGTAAATCCTTTAAATGTGGTAACAAGTCCGTACATCTTTGGACTAAAGAGAAAGTCATAAATTTTTACAGTGGGTTACTGGTTGTGATTATTTTCTTTTGTAATAAAAATTAAATTATTGCATATATTCTCTTTTCCTTTGGCTACATCATCTCAGAGATGAAAAAACAAAAAAGATTTTGCACATTTATATCAAGTGGGCACACATTTTAGCTGACTGAAAAAATATTAAAGGGAATGTACACCTCCATTAGAAAGATTTAGTCAAGCTATTACAATATTTTATAACTTTTTCAGAGAAGCTTCAGAATATTTTATATCTGGGGGATTATAGTCTTCAAAGCTTCCTGAAACATTAGTAAGCCTGAAATTTTTAGTTTATATAAATGTTTTTGAAACTTTTATATTTAGTAAAATGTTCTCTACAAATACATGTTCTAAGTAGTTTAAAATATATATGTATATAATATCTATAGATAAATCTATATCAATATATAAAATTGATTTGATGTATGCACATTTATAATCTAGCTCTGTAGGGTGGGTTCTAAATATGTGCCTTCAGCAGCAAGAATAAACTTTTCTAGACTCACATTCTGGCCATTTGTGGGTTTTGTAAACTCATTGTCTTTATCTTTTGTTTGTCTGAATTATGAAGCATTTAAGTGAATTTGTAACAGTTAAGACTTTGCAGTTAGCCTAAGACATATATACCTGTAGAATTTGGGATTGGTTACAGATGATTTAGCTATAAATATAGTAATTTAGGACCTAGATGGCCATAAAGAGCATGATCACATTCAATATAATATAATATAGCTTCTTTTAGAATGTATTGTCCCAAATAAAAGATCAGAGGCTATGGATGAGATTTATCTGTACAACGCATGTGGGGTCTTGCAAGATCTTGAAAACTACAGTCACCATATACACAGGCTTATGCCACTGCCTTGGCTCACATCTCTAGCGGATAGACTATGTGACAAGGATTAAGGTGATAATATTCTATTTGGGTTGTAAGAAAATCAATGCAGCAAAGGCAAAGAAAAAATTAAAATTAGGCAAGAAAACTTAATGCATTACCACCCTGATCGTTAAATCACAGCTTGCCACAAAGAGACGCAACAGATATATCTGCTTGACGTATAGGACTTGTCCAGACAGGTTGCAAGAAGAAACCACATCTCACTGTAGAACACAGAGTGGAGAAATAAGGAGGAGGATGGGGAAATCTGCTGCTTCCTGTCTAGCATATTCTGTGGTCAAGATTCACCCTGTAGGTGCTAACTCTTCTGTACTTTCAGATTGTGTCTCCTGGCTTGTAGCTATACCAGCTATGGAAAGGGAAGTGTGGCTCAGTATTTGGGGGAATGAAGGCCAAGGAGGCATTAGGGGGATCTGAGAATTCATATGGTACTTATGTCCTGTATGGGCATTAATCATGAAGACTATGAAGTTTAAGTGTTTCCATTTTTGCAAATATTTTTAGATATTGGATATTTTCTTATGCCTAGATTC